GTCTGTCTCTGTCTATCTCTCTGTCTCTCTCTGTCTGTTGCTATCACTGTCTCTGTCATCTCTCTGTTTCAGTCTCTCTCCCTCTTCTTTCTACTTTCCCTCCTTTCCTGCTCTTTCCCAGCTGTGGCTTTTTTTGCTTCCTGTGCTGGGGGTTGAACCCACGTTCTGCCCCTGTCAGGACACGACCCCCGAGTTGCATCCCCACCGCAGCTAGCTCAGCACCTTCACACTTGGCCTCGTGCTTCTCCTTTGCCCTTCGTCTTCTAGGCTACTTTCTGCATCTCCAGATCCAGAGCTCCAGTGCAGCCTTTGCTTCTGGCTGATGGAGCGAGGTTCTCTGCAGGGCTCATAGTGACGAAACAGACATGTCTAGGAGCGCAGATGCACGTGGGATAATTGCACAGGTGTGCGGAGAAACGTTACAGGGCTCGTGCCGCTGCTGCTTGCTCAGGCGCCTTTCCAACCAGCATCTGGCAGGATCTTGGAGCGCATTTACCCCTCCCAAAGGAGAGCTCCTTGCAGTGCCTTTCTTCTGCCATTGTTCAGAACGTTGTTGTTGCTGGGCCTCGATCTGCCACAGCGTCTTACATGTAAGAGGTGAGAAGTACAGAGGGGAAAACACATGAAAGAGGCCAGGAAAGAAACGTGGAAAAGAGCCGACTTCCCAGGTGGCCTCTGCAGTCACGGAAGATGCCAGCAGCCTCATGTCCGACGGCCGTGTTGGGACAGCACGCTGCTGTCCCTGAGAGCTCTGCTGGTCAAGGTTTCCTTCTCTTCTTCTCGACGTGTGGCCATTCCATATAGATTGGGCCTCTCGTTCCCACTGTATTCTCCCATGGATGCAGATTTCTGTCTTTTCCTCCTACCTCCGTGTTGCTCATCTTTTTAAAAAATATGAACAGTTCTATTATGCATTATAACTGTTATTTAAAAAACACAAGTCCATCAAAGCCAGGTCTGCCAGGCATCTTCAAAATAAGCAGACGTTAAGGATATTTAAGTAGATGGATAATCTGAAATTTGGGATAGTTTCCTCAACATAGTGTGACAGCCAGGTGCCATCACCTTAGTTGAAGCGAATTTCCTGAGTCTAGCTCCTTCGCAGATTACAGATTCTGTGTTAAATTCTGCCACTTGCCCTTTACAGCCCTCCTTTAGTGTTAAGATGGTTCTGGGAGTGGCTTTTTTTCTTTCCTGTCCACTGGGACAAAATACGTGCCCCCCGCAGCTTAAGCAGCAGAGGTCTGGCTGGCTCACACTGCAGGGCCAGAACTGGCCTTTCCAAGGCAGAGAGGCGAGGCAGAAACCGTGCAGAGGGAAGCTGCTTGGTCGTGGCCGGGCGGGAGGCGCCCGGAGGGAGAGCACCCTCTGCCAGTCACAGGAGAGGCCGCTGCTTCCTAGCTGGTCCCGCCTCTGAGCATGTGTCTCTCTTAGCGGATGTCTAGGTACAGACCATAGCAGTGGGGCTGGTGAGATAGCTCAGTAGAGTAAGCCCTTGCCTGGCAAGCACAAGGGCCTGAGTTCAGTCTCCGGTTCCGCATCCTCTTAGGCACACACCCTTGTGTCATTTCACACAGTTCTTTCCCACTGCTGTGGCTTTTTGGGCAAAGAACACTGCATGGATCTGGCTGACGGTGCATTCCAACCATAGAACTGCGGGACAGTCCAGATGGCCATTTCCACCCGACTGGGTGTGTTCCCGCATCCCCGAGTCTACTTCGTGCCGGGACTAGTCGTGAACCGCTGCTGGGCAAGCAAACAAGATGTGCTGCTGCGATCTTGAGCGCTGTGCGCACGCAGCGTGCCTGCCCCGCGCCCCGCGCCCCGTGCCCCGCGCCCCGCGCTTGGCTGTTGGTGGCACTTTGCAGCTGGCTGATCAGACCTGGGAATGTCTGCTCTTCCCAGTGCCCAGTGCGACACCATTGCAGCTGTAATTCCTCTGGAGGGGCCCCTCTGGGTCCAGCAGTCAAAGCATATTCAGTTTGCAGGTTTCCCCCGGAAGCGGGAAGTACTCAGGGAGATGCTGTGCTCACACTTTGTGTCTTTCCTGAGAGACCTGTCTGATTCTTTATCCCCGCCTTATTGTCGTGGTTTGCTGGAAGCTCCCTTAGAGCACATTTCATCTGATTCTGATAAGCACTGTATTCACGTACTCACCTGTTGCTCCGTGCACTGTGGGCATGCTAGGAGCTAAGGCTAGGTAACTTGTTCTCGG